GTGCAGAATTATGTATATCTACCCATACATACACGCGCGCGAACATCTCATCTCGCAATGCTTCTTTACAGCCGTTTTAGTGACACTTGCTCTCAATTTTGTTTTCTCTCTCTCTCTTACTCTGTGTATACCAACATTTCATTATAACGCGCGCCCCATAAGTTGCTGAGAACTCTAATGCTCATAATAAACTCGGCAGTTATCTCGGTCTATTCATAATGCAATGATTTGACATTTATTTATGTCTACCTGCGATACGTGTGCTTATCGACGAAAATATAACCGAGACTATCGGGGGCCTCGAATATCGACTGAAACAAGAATTCGAATTCGGCCGCTTCGGAGTCGAGCTTGCATTATTAAAAAATATACATTTCCTTGACGGAATATGGAGCATCTTTGCGTGAAAACTTCAAGGGGTAGATAAAATGTGCGACTCTGTAAAGCTGTGTAATTTAGTCGGCGGTGTAACTCATCTTGTAATGGTTATACGCGACTTTTTTACGATCGTGTAAGCGTGATCGTAATTATCCGAGCTCGTCGTGAAGTTTACGCGCTGTACGCGTGTGCAGTGTGTGTGCGTGAGTTTGTGCATTCGTCTGTGCCAAGAACCGCTTCGAGCTCCTACCCTTTTTCTCTCTCTCTCTTTCTCTCGTTTGCAAATAACGATTAAGAAAAGGCTTACCCAGTAGCAATGCGGGTAAAAGCACTAGCGCGACACATGTCAAGAAGAGCGAGCGAGCGAGCATAGAGATTCATTCATTAATGGATATAATGCGTAGAGGCCATATACCGTAAATATAGTGCGCCTCTGCGTATACGTATACGTGCATGTGCGGCAATAGATAATGATATGCACCTGCACGCGCGTTACAGCTCGTAGTCATCGCGCATAGTCGTCTATCTGCCGTTCATTAAATCACTTTCAATTGTGAAATGTTTATATACATTATATTGTACATGCACGGACGCGCGTACGTAATATACATTTTATATGGAGAGCAAGAAAGGAGACCTAATTTTGAAATCGCATCTCCGCCATGTGCGAACTTATTAATATTTATTTGTTGTCATGTGTTTAATGATCTTCGCGATATCGTTGGGTTTTTGTATGCGCCAGGCTCTCGTCCCAATCATCGCATCGATTCAAAGTGTTCGCGATGGAGAAAAATTGAAATAAAGATCTCGCTTTTTACAATAACGATGTCTCGTACACGAGGCAGTTGTGAAGATCGAAGATGCTCGAAAGTCCAGGAGTAATGTTATAATTCTACCGAACAGCTCGTATAACTCAGCTCGCAACGAACTTTATCATTTCCCTGCTGCACGCGCGAATAAAAAAGAGAATTTCCTGACACTTTCCAAAGCTTTCAAAAGTTAATAACAGTATAAATCCGAATATAACGCTGAATGTGGAATTGCAGCCTGCGCGCAACCTGTTTGGGTATGATATTGCGGATGCTGCTCTCCGAGCACGTATATAAATCGCGGGTAAAACGCACAATCGAACGCCGTATACGATTGCTTTTCATCTGAATTATTGCATTCTTCCGTAAACCTACGTAAAGTTTTCTGCTCGAGATTTAATATGGTTATTTTGTTTTTTTTTTTTTTTTTTAAGAAATGAAGCTAAGAATTGCACGACATCTCGTGACCTCTATTCTCTGAAAGAAAAGCCTCCACGGACTCATAGCCAATTAGCCATACTTACGCGACGTTTTTGAATATACGACCATAAGTCGACAAGACGGGATGCGATTATACGTTACTTCATAGCGTCGTTGAATGAATTTGGAATTAATTAAGAAGGAAAATTTAGCCGATTCTTACCCACTTCACGTAGCGAGGCAGGCACGGCTATATTTTTGTTTTTTATCCTTTGTTGACTTACCTGCAATCAAAAATGAGAAACACATATATTTTTAATGTTTTAGTTCGTTCATATGTGTATAAAGGCATAATAATGTACGTAAGCGCTTGCATTAAATGCAGCCGCTATTATGTATATAAGCTCCGAAAGTAATATGGTAATTTTCCTTTCGAAGGACTATAAATCAAAAACTATTTAACATGTAATATGCAATTCCGTTGGTGCAGTGTCCAAAAATTGCATTCATAAAGTTGCCGAGCGAGCAGGCCGTGCATAACGAAATAATTCTTCCTCCCCAAAATGACTAATAGCACGCGGCTACTTTTTAATAATAATGAACAGTCGTAACGATCGAAGTTGGGCAAAAGGAAAAAAAAGGATTACATTTTTCTGCTCCAATTTTCGACCAACTTTTTATGGATACCAGCCAATATTGTAATTTGTATAATTTTCATGCCTGACAAAAATGTCGAAGTGATAAAGTAGAAATAATAACGCACTTTTCGTAACAAACGTGTCAGAAAGCTTTCGTCACGTCGTGCGCGAGCGAAAATAAAAGAAGTAAACCAATCCATCGGTCAAACTTCGATTTATCTTTGACGTTGCAGCAGTAGGTCGTCGATGTATTAATCACGTTATATGTACATAACTATATGAAAGTCTGGAATTTTTTTCCGTCCTGCACAAAAGCTCAACACAGAGCCATGATGGTAGCTCGACGCTCAACGATGAAAAGAACAGAGGAAGAAAAGCCTATGTGTGGGGTGAGAGAGCCAGAGCTTTAAAGCCCAAAGAGCTTGCGAGAGTTTTGCCCGTACGGGAAATTGTTTTTCTTCTCCCTCGCTCTCGCATGCTTGATTAGCTTATTGCTTGCGCGCATGTCGCAAGATTAATTGAGCTTCTGAGCTTTTCTCGCACAATATATCGGCGAGTATGTATATATCTTTCATCAATTTTACACAATGAAAAAATACCAAGGCCTTTTTTTGTCTATTTAGTCGCAGAGGCACCTGTCGCGCTGAAAGCTCTCGCCGACAACGCAAAAAAAGGAGAAAGAATATAATCCAGGGGGAAAAACGCATTAGATGCGACGCGGCACGGTTTCGTCGCTTCGAGTGTTGTGGTATTTTCGGTAAAAGGCAGTAACAACAGCAGCAGGAGGTCGTTGTCGTCGCCGCCGTATAAAAGCACGCGCACAACACACGAGAGCATGTGCCTTCAAGATGCTGCTGCGGAGAGACGCTCAACGTCGCGAGCAGTACACGCCTGTAACGGATGCAAAACAAGAGTCTCGACGAGTCTCGGTTTTTTTTTTGCTCTTTCTTTTGCTCTTTTTCTTTTTTATGTTTCTTTTTTTCGCTCGCAGCAGGAGAGTTGATACAACTATCCACTATATACGCAAAGCTATTTTCTGCATCCGTATCGCAATTGATTTACGTCTTTTGTCTTCCGCGGCGAAGAAAGTGGCAGAGACTCGCGAGTATAATCGAATATAATAATTTTGCCGACTGCGTTCGGTTCAGTTGTCAACTGTTTCAGCGCTCGTAAGTTAAACGAGTGGCTGCAGGAAATAATTTTAATTAGCGGCAGCACTGCACGCTGTACAGAGAAAAGCGAATTTACACGCGTGCGACAAAAAAAAAGTATAAACAACAAAAACAACTGCAACGTAAAAAAAGAAAAGTAAAAGTGCAGAAATGTCGTTGACACGAGATGCTTCACGGTGATATCCAACCGAAGGACGCTCGGAGCCGGATAAGAAGCGCCAAGCTAGGCTGAGCACTGAACCGCAGAGTACTATAATATGGCCTTCAGAGGGCCGAGAAAGAACGTCGTATACGAAGAAGCAGCAGCCGCACGCGCGAGAGTCGCAAAAATGAAGAAGGTTAATAATAAAGGGATATAATAATAATAATGACAAGCGAGGCAGCATCGCTCGTTGTTTAAAATAAGGCAGCAAAAGGCAGCGCAGCATCCACGAAGACGACGGCAATCAGATACGACCTTGCGGCGCACTCGTTCGCCAGCAATTTCGCAGCCACACATTTTAATACTCGTTTCTTCATATGTGCGCAGACGAGAGCTGCTGCATCGCGGGCACACATATACATATAAGTACATTACATTGATCTTCGGATGCTTTCTTCGACTGCTAATATGAGCTCGTCAGGCGTCGTCGTGTCTTTTTTTACCCGCATAAATACTTATGCGTATGCACCGAGCGCATAGAGTCCGAGGATCCCTTCGCTCGATCGTCCGGTTTTGTTGTTGCTGGTGCTCCGGTGTTTTAAGCTCGATTGGCTGGCGCCAAAGTTCGACAAAAAACGAGCGAAGGCAAGTTTATGTTATTTTTTTGTTCCTGAGAAAGAAACCCTACAAATGACAGGCGCGCAGCCTCCAGGTACATAAAGTCGAAGCTACCGCGAGACATCTCTTTTACGGTATCTGGCAAAAAAATCTGCTGTGTCCGCCCGTGAGTGCGTACGAAAAGGAGGTCGATCTCCATTGTACAAACATATAAAGAAAATCGTTTATCGTTGCGCTGTTGCATAGCGTAAACGCGCAGGCTTGCAGTACGTACGCGCGCTTACGTACATATATGCGGTATGCATTGCAAATTAAGGTGACGCGTCATTTTTTTTCTTGCCCCTCTTTCTCTCTCGTCCGCTCTCACTCTCGACTGCACAGCACGAACGGTATACGGACGAGCGAACGGGCGCGATGGCTCTTTCGTCGAGTGAGAGCGTGCGCGCATAAATCCCTTACTTACACTTGTTTGAGTGCGTATACCGTACGTACATGCGTGAACAGAGACTGCACACGGTCGAAGGCGCTCGTAATGCGCCGAGAGCACATGATATTGCTGCACACGGGCGTCGCGTACGCGTCGCACCCACGTATCGCCTTGATTGCGTAAAGGGCTCGGTCGCTCCACTTTCTTCGCTTCTTTTATTTTTTTCCCCCGCTATTTTTACGCAGTCGCGTTCTCGCGATACATTCCCATATGTATATCACGATGTATGAATTCTTTATGGCGAGATACATATATACAGCAGACGTACCGCTTAACGGTACGTATGTGTATGATATGTATATGAATGCACGGGCACGATATAAATAAAGGCCTCACCTCGTTTTCATACTACTGCCGATTCGGCTGCTGCGCGCGCGGTAATGATCGTCCTGCTGCGGATTATTTCTGAAGGGCAGCGCGTGAAAACGTCGCCGACGCTGCTGCTGCTGCTGTTGTCGTTGTCGTTGTCGTCGACGGCGTTGATACTGCTGATGCCGTTGCTGCGACACGACGGCGGCGGCGAGCGCGTTGGCACGATTCACTCGACGCTGGCGGCCAGCGGCACCGTGATAATGGTAATGGTGATGGTGATGGTGATGATGGTGATGATGGTAATGAAGGTGATGATGATGCTGCTGCTGATGATAGTACTGACGATGATGGTGATAGTAATGCGGTCGCCACCAGAGTTGCTGCTGCTGCTGCTGCTGCTGCTGCTGCTGTTGATGATGATACTGAAGGACGAGGCTACTGTTGCTGCTGCAGCTGTTTATGATTCGGCCGCCACGTTTGTACGGCTGATCGCCGAGTCGCAGGTACATCTCACGCCGCTCCAGCTGTCATATTGATCTTTCTCGCAGTTGCACGTCTATGTTTTTCTCGCCAAATTAATCCGTACGATATCTATTCTCGTCCTGTTGAATTTTCCAGTCGCGTAGCGTCGCATCGAATCGATTGTCTACGGAAAAAAGCACCACTACACTGCACAGTCACACAACCGAAAGCTCGCAAGCTCACACATGATATTCCTCTGCTACTGTTGCTGCTGCTGCCGCTGTACAATTATTGTCAATGGCGGATGTGCTAATTGCAACTTGACTTGAAATACGATTCACTGTATATAATATGTGAGATCGATCAGGACTATATAAACCGAAACTATTAATTTCGCACGATTCTCAGCGACAAAAGCACAGCTCACGAAAGTTATATGTATTTTTGTCGTCGGCAAACACTGTGTAGAGATATCCCGGCACGCAGCAGGCCTGGCCGTAGCTGCGCGAGCGCGATAGGGCGGTGTATCTCCATGGGGGGCGCGCGCGCAGCTCCGTACAGCACGGAGGAGAGAACGAGAGAAGTAGCGAGCGTTGGCGGTATATAGCGTATGGAGCACGGCGGTGCTGGCGGCGGCAGCGGCGTTTCGCAAAAGCTCGAGCACCCCGTCGTCGTGTGTGTGTAGGTAGAAGCCAGAAGAGGAGCACGGCACACGGCTGCACCGGCCGGGCGGATTATTCGCCGTTGCTGCTGCCGACGCCTCGCGCGCCTCGCACACGAAAGAAAGAGCTAGACGGCAAGATACATAGCCGAGGACCGAGAGATGAAACCTCCATGTACGCTTTAAACGTGCGAGTCGATGTGTGTGCGTGTGGCTGCGAGTGTGAGTGCACATGCCGTGTACAGTCTTTGGAGAAATCAGAAGCGCAAGCGCGTCGTACAGCACGATCGCTCGTATTTGTCTTTCGCGCATATGCTTGTAGACTCTCGCGTGGTTTGTAGCATAGTCGAGCTTGCAACACGGCGAGCGCGAGAGCTTTTTACTCCTGTTGTAGTTTGTTACGTTCGCTGACCGATTGATCAAGCTTAAATGTGATTACTTTCGTCTGGCTACTTTATAATATAAAATCGCGAATATATAATCGAGGCTGCGCGCTCAAATTAATTTCAATTTCACGATATGTATATGCGGCCGTGCGGATTACCGAGTAATAATGAATTTTGCGAATTTTCATTACGGCCGCTGCCGGCTGCAAGCTCTCGCGGCGTTTCGCCCACACACGCCGGGCAGCGTGGGCAATTTTTGATTTTAATTTCGAGATAAAGAAAGAAGAGCGAGGGAGACAGGGAGTAGTAAATACCCTACTTGATATTCGTTATCCCGTTTATAAATTCGTTTCGCGCAAATATAATGTCCCAATTCGACGCGGGAATCAAAACACGTTTAATTATAAATTCGAAAACGTTTCGTATCGCACGGATCTTTTTTATCGTGCCGCGCGTAACGTAGGCTCATGTATGCACGTTTATAATGCATATATCCTTGAGCAACGATGCACTCCACTTGTGCAGCGTGTACGCATCGATATTAATGCTATGAAAATAAGCTATACAACTTTTGCAATAGATCAAGCGGCATAATGTATAAAAAGTTCAATGTTAGATTATCAGTACAATGTATACTTGCGCATTGCGCGACAATTATTTTTACTCTTCGCAGTGCTTTTTCATCTGCGCGCGCATCTCCGGCATTTTTCGCTCTGCATTTATTACGCACACAAAGAGACATTTTTATATATATTTCATTGTTTTGCGTATAAAATCAAGAAATGTGTTATATCGGTTAGCGGCGCACGTCGCAATTGGTTTTATTTATGTTAATGGATTCACCTGTCGCGCTTGTGTATACCCGAGAAGGTAGGTAGGTTGGTAGGTAAGAGAGCAGAATTTTATATTGCGTTATATCGCCTCGCCGCTCATTCAACATTGAAACAGGAGGAGAGACAGCTGAGAAAGAGTGGGATTAATGCTGCGCTGCAGCGCGCAACGATGGAGAAAAATGCCGTGGTTGAGTCTATTGGTTTTGCCGAGCCCTCGAGAAATGCACTATTACGACAATTGCGTGTACATAAACTAGGGAGTGCATGGTTTATTACGTGTAAATGTTAGATCAATGAATAAAAATTTGACTTTATTTTTTTGTGTTTTTCAGACGATCGTTTGGTGTGTCGCTGACTGCCCGGCTCGACACTTTCGAAAAAACTGCCTGCCCGTAACTGCGCCAGTGAGAATCCGCATTAGCAGCTGTCGAATTTCGCGGGGCAAGCTTAATCGACACATGTTTTCAGACACACACTCACACACACACACACGGTACATCATTATCCACATGCTCTCGCCGCGACGCGAACACGCGAAAGAAAAACCAAAATGCGCAGGTATACAAGCCCAAGCGCGCGAGCCTGACCTTGATCTCGAGTACAGGCAATTTTGCAGAAAGTATCATCATCCCGTTCAACAAGTAACAGTGATGTGCATGTGAGCGAGTCTTCCCAATCGATCTTTCTTTTTTTCCTCGTCTTTCGCGCGCGCGCGTGATAAATCATACGTTCACACCAGTTTGTGCACAGTGCGAGCGCGTCACGTTATATGTATACTATAGGCTGGGTTTGTATGTATAAAGCGTCCGCGCGAAGAAGCAACAAAAAATACGTGTAATTATCCGTGTTCGAAGAGAAGAAAAAGTGTGTGGAGAAAAGATGGCTCATTGCCGATACACGCGTGTACACACACACTTGGATATCAAGCTTTTTTTCTTTTTTTTTTCATCTGCTCGCTTTGCGACGCGCCGCGCAGACCCACAATTATTCGACGGCGAACGGCGCGTGCAAAAACATCCACCGCTTCGGGCGCGATCCGTAATATATATTACCCATTATATATGTTTAATTTTATTAGAGGTCTTCGGTTGTGCGCGCATTACATGTATACCGCACGCAAGAAGCGAAACGCTCGGGCGCGAGATTTTCGCAAATAGTTTTCGACGATGATGTGTTCTTTTTCAACTTGCTCCGAGAGATGAGACGGTAATTTGTGTAATATTAATGAGCACGCACTGGGTGGAATCAAACATGATACCAAAATTATATAATATTACATGTACGTAGAGAGAATATATACTAATCAATATTTTTTTCACTTGTGGGTTCACAATACTCCATCTGTTGATGAAATCAAAAAGCTAACAGTCAAATACGACATCTTTGATAACAATGAATTTTCTTACAATACAAACGAATTCTGGAATATTGATCCTTATTTTCTTACAAAAATATAATTAATTTTGCAGATCAATCAGCAGCTGTGTCAAAAAACTGTTAGAAATAAAACTTTTACAAAATTTCACAAAAAAATGAAGTCTAAGCAAATCAATGAATTTACTGTTCTATAAACAAAAGTCCTATATGATGTTTCCATAAGAAAATGATAATTTTCAAGTGTTTTCTTTATTTTATCTACATGATTGTGAAAATTGTGCATCTAGTGCATCGTTTACATTCAATATCTGTCTCCGATCTTGCGTCTGATTATTTTTGGATTATACATATGGTTCGAGACGTCTGCGAGCTCATCTTAGTAGTTGCAATAAAAGAGACAAGGCCGCGCGCATATTTCAACGATCGTGCGTGGCCCGGATTTTTTCCTCGCCGCGTCTGCGGTTTTGAATCGCGCACAGGATGGGAAATTGATTTTCACATGCAAAACGAGCTGCGCAGTACATAACTTATAATGCGTGTAACGATGCGAGCGCGCGTGCAAGAGATAATTTAACCAAAAGACGAATGTTGCACTCGTTTCTTGGCTGGAGTTTCACGGACGATTAAAAAGTGAAATTGTTTTTTGGGTGACATCATACTTCACTTGTGTGTACGTTATACCCTTCACGAACGCAACAACGATGCCACCGCCGCCAACGCCGCCGCCGCCGCCATCGCTGCAGTTCTCGATATTTTACATAAAACATAATGATTTATCATCGCGGCCGAGCCAAAGATATTCGGCCAACTATCCCGTTGATCTTTTTTCCTTTTTGCGGCTCGCGTTCGACTGGCCGGAGATTAAATACACGCGCGCGGTCGTTTAAAAAAAATCGAAACGATCATGAATCAATGTTTAACTCGCGCCGGGCTCCGTTGCTTTGCACCGCGGCGATCGCGCACATGCCCACACGTGAAAGCGATCGTGTAAAGCAGCTCTTTCTTATATCCCTCGCTTGTTTGCATAATGTTTCTTATCACAAAGCGAAAATAATTTTCGTTCATCTGCAGCATGACGAGCTCTTTATAAGTATAAGACTCTTGTACTTGAATAATTGATACCTTCCAGTAGAAAAATCGTCGAAAAAAAAGTTGTACACACACGCGCGTCGCGTCGCTCAATGCCGGCGTGCGGTCGAAAATTTCGCAAGTTACGGGTAGATCGGGTATATTATAGCAGTGGCTATCAAATCTTATCGCGCGCAAGAGAGTCGTTGGGAAATATTTAAATAGCTCATTTGTTAAATGTAGCCGGGCTTGCGAGATCGAACGTGGCCGATTGTGTGTGTGTGTGTGCACGCTGCAGCTTCGAAGCTTCCACAAGCGTACGCGTGTGTGTTTATTATATTATATTCGTGTTTCGCGATACGTGAATTTCTGATGGCAATGCAGGATAACCCAAATATTATCCCTCTCTCCCTCTCTCTTTTACCAAGACTCGGGCCAGAGATAGTATCGAATTTTGCAGTTGTATATTGTTGCCCAGCTGCTTTTTAATAGCGCGTGTAGTACGTGCTGTAACTCGGCGCACGAAGGGACATGTGACCATCGTCATTGATCGGTGCACGTATGCGTAAATCAATGAAAATACTCCAACTCGACGCATGATATCTCGGCGAAATCCTACTGAACGACGAAACGCAACTCGGTCAAATTTTTCAAGTTTACGTATCGAATCTTTTTTGTTCTCAACTACGGCATCGTACAAATCATTTTTTTTTTTTCCAATTTTCGATGACGAATAT